AAACTTTAGCGATTTTTTGCAAACATTTCTTTGAGTAACATGACCGTAAATATGAACTCACGATTGAATGTAAAATAAAACAAATGATTACTTTTCGTTAAAATCTTTATTAATGCCAAAAATGCTTACAGTTATGTGTCTTTTTGTTCGCTCGGGCAGCCATTTTGCCCCTGAAGCCGGTTTACGCTGAGATAATTCATAACCCTTCTTTTGAAGTGTGGTCCCGAAAAATCTTCGTTTGAAGGGCTGTCTGGCCCTTCCCCCTGCCCCTCCAACCAAAAGAGAATTGAGACACCCCTACCCCTTCACATGAACGCGCGAAACGGAGGGGTAGGGGAAAGGGGAAGGGCTAAGGGGTAGAATTGGGATTGGGCCTTATTCTGGAGTGGAAACAGAGATGGATAACAATTACGCACACAAACAACCACATGCACACAGGCAGACAGCAACTTTGATTTTGACATAACATTATGCGCTCTGACACATTTGCTGTAAATTTAGTGGATTTTTTTTCTTTTTGTGCTCATGTGTGAGCTAGCACTGACTGGGTACATATATATGTCTTATGATTCAGTATGAATTATACATAACAATATCAGAATTGGATCCTCACTATTACCGCTCAGAACAAATTCTGAAATAATACTGTTTAAAGTAAACATGAAATGATGTTCATAAACCATGTTGTTTATGTAATCTGTCATGTGAAACAGGATATTCTGCAAGAAGAAAAATGTAGATAGTTGTTTGGGTCCTGAAAAGAAAAAAAAACAGCTCATGAGAATCATTGGTTCGTTTTGATCTAAAAACAGAAATGGCTCATAAGAGTCATTCATTGGGGAATCAGACTACAAAGGATTGAACTGTATGTTTTTGACTCACAAAAAAGAATCAGCTCATAAGAGTCATTTGTTCATTTTGATTCACTAAAAAAGAGCCAGTCTATAAAAGTCATTAGTTTGTTTTTGGTTCAATTTGATAACAAGTACTGGTTCATAAGAATGATTTGTTTGCTTTGAATTAAAAAAAAAACAGCTTGTTAGATTTGATCATTTTATAATTGGACTACAGGACAACAATGGTCACTCTGTATGTTTTTAATTCACTAAAAAAAGAACCAACTCATGAGGGTCATTGGTTTGCTTTCATTCACCAAATAAATAAATAAATAAAAATAGAATACGTTTACATTCATTTAGCGACTTTGGATAAAAAGAACCAGCTCATAAGAATCATGTGTTTGCTTTGATTCACAAAAAAATAGCTTACAAGTGTCATTTGTACATTTTGATTCACATAAAAAAATGGCTTCTAAGAGTTGTTTATTTGGTCATTGGATTACAGTGGTCATACTGTGTTTGTTTTTAACTAACAAAAAAAGAACCAGCTTGTAAAAATCGCTTGTTTTGATACACTGAAAAAGAACTTGCTCATAAGAATCATTTGTTCATTTTGATTCACTAAAAAATGAAATGGCTCGTTAAGAGCTGTTCATTTGGGAATCAGACTACAAAGTTCAGACTGTATGTTTCTGATTCACTAAAACTAACCGGCTTGATTCCCTCAAATTAATTGATTCATAAGAGTCATTGTTTCGGGAATCATACTAAATTGTTCACACAGGATGTTTTTAACTAAAAAGCACCAGCAACTCTAAAAAGCAATAACAGAGATTATAAATGGCAACTTAACCAAGATGTGGTACTTTTATCTTAATCATTTACAGTGATTTAAAAGATTTTATTTGTGCTGCAGTATAGGTCTCAATGTTTAATTAGCTTATGTGTGTATTTTGTGTGTACAGGGAACGACCTCTTCCTGGTGGCAGTACATGAACTGGGTCACGCGTTAGGCCTGGAGCACTCGAACGACCCCACTGCCATCATGGCCCCCTTCTACCAGTACATGGACACAGAGAACTTCAGACTGCCACATGATGATCTGCAGGGCATCCAGAAGATCTACGGTAAGATTCACTCAGAACACACTCAATTCACAACATACTTTTTCTACAGTGTAAAAAATGATTTTTCGAAGTAAATAAAACAGATTATTGGAGTAGTTTTTACAATAAAATATTTCAGTCTTTCTACTTAAGAAAATTGTTTATTTTAATGTGTTACTCATGAAAGTTTGTTTCAACCACAGAATGAAATAATACAAATAGGTAAATGCAACTTTTTATCTCACAATTCTGACTTTTTTTCAGTCATAAACTCACATTCTGAATTTACATCTCACAATTTAGACTTTTTTTCTCCGAATTTTTGGAATCGGATTTGTGCCTTTAATTTTGAACACAACTTCTCAAAAAACGAATGAAAATCTAAACTGAAAATGAATAAAATATCTTAGGAAAAAAATAATCGCAGGCAAAATGTATGACTTCGTATTTAAATACACTGCATGCTTTGCTAACTTTGCTAATGCATCTGAGGTTTTCATTTACGCTACCTGAGTTTTTGTTTATCATTCTGGCACAAATCCCTCTTGGGGGCGGGGTTAGCAGTGCTGGGTTCTCATTGGTTGGTGAGTTTTTGATTGATAGCTTCTTGACCTGGAAGTGAAGACATCAGTGTTATGTTCTTTACAAGTGTGACTGAGAATCTGTATATAAAAGAAATAAAAATCTATGTATTTTTTTTTTTCAGAATTGTGAGAAAAATGTCAGAATTTTGACATATAAACTCAAAGTTGTGAGAAAAAACGTCAAGATAAAATATGTTTTAATTTTTTTATTCCATGGCTAAAACGAGCTTGCATAGTTACATGTCGTTTCTTTGTAATTATTTGTGAAATCTTCTAGTATCATTTTTTTTTTTTTTACAGTGTAACACTGAATATTGAACCTCAGTGCTTAGCTCAAATGAGAAGCAACCACATAGCAACACCCTGGCAACCAAACATGCTTTGTAAAAAATTTAAAAACCTACTGCATTATTTTTCCCTCTGTTCCTCCACTCCCATCCAGAAAAACACTAAAATGCACGTTCCTGAGATGTTCAGATCCTCTTTCCTGGATTCCATGCAACGTCCGTCCCTTTGGACTTCCTCTTTCCTCCTCCTGACACAGGATGAGACCGCGGAGGGTGGAGATACTCGTACATCTTATGTGTCACGCACACATTCCCAACTACGTTCTCTCAATATCTATCACTCTCACCAGAGGAGATCTCCGTTCTGTTGGCCTTGCGTTATGTAACGTGAAGGGCTGTAATCCTCGCTCTATTTCAGGAGATTTGATTTCAGACAGTCACTCCTCTCTGTGGTTCTCCAGAGGGCTAATCCTGTCAGGCCGCCCTCCTGCCTGATTCATACTTAAAATCATTCATTATTTTCTCCATTTAATCACCTATCCTTTCATTCTCATAGAGGATTTCTTGACCTCTCGATCTGCGGGCTCGTAGCGTTCTGTCGGCTCTTCCAAAAATCTGATGTCTTAGTTCATTGTGCTAACAGCTTGGACTCTTCAGAGCGGGTCAGCCGTCTGCTGTGCTGTGATAATGAGTCCACAGATAATCGAGGTGTATGCTGGACTATAAGTGATGCGAGAGCACATGATAGCTTTTTTTTTTTTTGTAATACCAATGGTCCAGATGAATATTATAAAACCAATTTATTTGATCAATGAGATTATCTAGCTTCTTTTACCATTATTTTCATAATAACACAATAAAAATAGTATATATAATATAATAAATGTTATATGTAATAAATGTACAATGTATGATTGTATATATATATATATATATATATATATATATATAAATAACGTCTCTGTGAATAATTGTGATATATACTACAATATAAATAAAATAAAATACAATGTATGAAAAATATATAAACAATATGATTTTTTTTTTAAATATAAGATTTATAATAATAATAATAATAATAATAATAATAATACCATTGTTTTCCAATGTAATTATTCAATTAATTATTTTTATTTATTCTTCTATGTCTTAATAAAAAGCGACAACAGAAATATGACAAATAAACATACCATTGTACAATGGGTAAGGTGTATTAATAAATTTTATATTAACACAATAACCATAAACTGATATAAAGTTAGGCTAATGAAATATATTACTTGGTGAAATAATTGTGATATATACTACAATATAAATAAAATAAAATACAATGTATGAAAAATATATAAACAATATGATTTTTTTTTTAAATATAAGATTTATAATAATAATAATAATAATAATAATAATAATACCATTGTTTTCCAATGGAATTATTCAATTAATTATTTTTATTTATTCTTCTATGTCTTAATAAAAAGCGACAACAGAAATATGACAAATAAACATACCATTGTACAATGGGTAAGGTGTATTAATAAATTTTATATTAACACAATAACCATAAACTGATATAAAGTTAGGCTAATGAAATATATTACTTGGTGACATAATTGTGATATATACTGCAGTATAAATAAAATAAAATATAATTTATGAAAAATATTTAAATAATATGAAATATGTTAACAATATAAGATTAATAATAATAATAATTTTTAATGTAATTATTTTTTTTATTTTATTTATTTATTTATTATTATTATTATTATTATTATTCATTTCATTTAAATACTTATTGAATGATTTATTTTATATGACTTTATAAATGCGACAACAGAAATATGATAAATAAACATATACCAGTTGTACAATGGTTAAGGGGTATTTGTACGCATGACATTTAGCCTCTAAAGCCCCCTTAGGATTGCTTTTATAAAATATAATAAAATAACATCATGATAAAACACAAAAAAAAAATCTCTAGAAACTAGAAAACATTTGGTGTTTGATAACCCTTGTCTCTCTCTCTCTCTCTCTCTCTCTCTCTCTCTCTCTCTTCAGGACCTCCCGACAAACTTCCTCAGCCAACGAGACCTCTACCGACGGTCCTACCGGCCCGCTCGCACCCTCCCGTAGATCCACGCAAAAACGACAGGCAGACACGGCCTCCGCGAATACCGACCGGCGACAAACCAATGCACCCGAATGCTAAGCCAGACATCTGTGACGGCAGCTTCAACACGTTAGCCATCCTCAGGAGGGAGATGTTTGTGTTTAAGGTAAGCCAATGAATGAGACATACAGTAACTGTCAGAAATACACAAAACAAACAGATTCATATGTCTTAATTACTATATGAAATAAGCTCATCTTCAACACTGTGTTTAGAGCGCTGGCAGCTTCAGACACACACACACACACACACACACACTGCAGGAAGCGTTTCAGCCAGCGTTACGCCTCGCTGTGTGGGTGTTTTCTCTTTGTTCTCTCAGTGCTTGAGCTGAAGGAAATTGACCTATTAGTCAGAGCCAATGAGCTTTTCTTTGCCCGCTGAACCTGAGAGCTGCCTTCAATGAATTCTTAACCCTCCAGTGTGATAGTTGAGTGGGCTCAGTAATGTTTGTTTTAAAGAAATTCATAATTTTATTCAGCAAGGACACATTAAATTGGTCAAAAGAATCAAAACGAATCAGAACATCGAACAAATGCTGTTGTTTTGAACTTTCGATTCAAAACAAGTCCAATTAATCCTGAAAAAAGGTATCACATTTTCCACAAAAATATTAAGCAGAACAACTGTTTTCAACTTTGATAATAGTAGGCGATATTTCTTGAGCAGCAAATCAGCATATTAGAATGATTTCTGAAGGATCATGTGACACTGAAGACTGGAGTATTGATGCAGAAAATTCAGCTTTGATCACAGGAATAAATTACACTTTAAAATATATTGAAATATAAAACAGTTATTTTAAAATGCAATAATTTCACAATATTAGTGTTAATTTACTGTATTTTACTGTATTTTTGATCAAATAAATGCAGTCTTGATTAGATTAAAGGTCACATATTTTACACCTTTCTGGAGTTTTATTTTAGGTTTTGATGTCCTTAAGAATATATATTTGCGGTATAAGTACCAAAAACCATCTCAATATATTTTTACAGCTCCTCTCTCAGGAGCTCTGCTGAGAACAGGTCGATTTTGGCCGGTCTAATTAATATTCATGAGCCTCTCTTCTGACTGGCCTGTTGTTTTCTGAGTGACGCACGGCCAGGCCAACCACAGGTAACTAGGGTCAGCCGACGTCACAGCGCTAGCTGGAAGCAGCCCATTCAAACCACAGGTCGGCCGATCTGGTTTCGTGGTTAAAGTGAAACTTTTCCACATGTTTCCGTGTTGTTGTTGCTCAGTCAGCAATGGCATGGACGCGGTGTTGTCTGGGGGTTTGGCAAAAGTAGAGTGGGACGGTGGGCGGTGCTCGGGGTGGTGACTGAAGGCGGTGACTGTGTAGTTCTGACATCAACTTTTTACGGAAGTCACAACGGTTCGTGAAAAATCACAGCTACTTTATGCAGGCTGTGTGCATTTGACTGTGGACTGACTGTTTTGAAACTTATATGGTAGTTACATAGCCCCTAGACCTCAGTTATCGTGAAAAAAGCCAGAAAATTTCAGTTTTGACAATATGGGACCTTTAAGAGACTTCTTTCAAAAATACTGAAACTAAATAAAAAAAATATTGAAATATTCTTACCAGCCAACGGTAAATAAATATGATAAATACACTATTATTTAAACATTTTTAAATAAAATGAAAACATTTTGAATTATTTTTAATCTATATATACTACAATATAAATAAAATATAATGTAATAATGAAAAATGTATGAATAATATGCCTTTTATATTAATATAAGATTTTTAATAATACATCTTTTTACATTTCTTTTAATCTCATACTGAGAACATGCTGAGAACATCTGAGGTTTTCAGAGAGGTGATGACTCCAAAATCCATGACTGCAAAAAACAAAGTCTATAAACTCAAATCATATCACATATCACAAGTGCACCAATGGAAAAAAAAAAAGTTGACGAATTGATGTCCACTACAAGGGGTTGCCAAAAGAGGGTTGCTGGTGAGAAGACTTCAACAGATTAACAATGGAAACTCCTTTAAAAAAGCTGATTCTCTCTGAAAGTCACTTATGGATATCATATTTCTTCAGATGTATATGAATAAAGACCGGGTCCAGTAGTTGTGATCTGTGTGTGTGTTTGTGAAGCAGAGCTCACGTCTCTGAAGGCTACGGCACAGATTTACTACAGAAAGTATATTTTTTCTGAATCGCCAAACTCATGCTGACGTGTAGATTTATTCCGCATGAAGGGGGTTTTTGTTGGGCTCTAATCTTGTCACTTGGTTTCCTTTCCCAGTTTCACAGCAGACGCCTCTGGGAAAACAAAATCTATCATGAATGCTGTAACATTTCCTCACTTACTCGCTCAGTCGCTCGCTCTCACATGCTGTAAACTGGAGTAGTCTATCATCACAGCTAACACAAACATATTTCTGTGCAGTAAAATGCTGAAAGTCTGCCATCTAAGCTCAGAAGCGTGTCAGATCCTCACATTGGCGGCTCATGGTTGTTGGACGGAAGATGTATGTAACGTGTCTTTATGTAACCAGTGGCCGGTTACATACAGTAGCCTGCTTAAACTAGTCTTACAAGTTAATAGTTAATTGTTTTCTATAAATATAAACAGTCAGTTCCCTCCTCCCTCTCTCTCACTCTATAGTAAGTATGTGTGTTTGAAGTGTTGGAGAGTGTGTCTCATTCACTCAACTGACTGGCCGTCTCCTGAGTGCTGCTGTTTGATGCGGTTTAAGTCTGTGCCTGGTGACAGATCTCTTCCGTCCAGTCCTGTGAGGAGAGTTTCACAGTCTGGTGAGGGATCTGTAGACTGTGAAATAGTGAGAGGCAGAGGGATAGAGGCCGATCTCCCAGCAGCAAGCTCTCAACCTGCCCAGCACCACACTGCTCACGGTGCTTTCATCTTTCCCATGCATCCCTCCATCCCTCTATCTCACCGCACACATCCCTGTGTTCAGTACTGGCTGGCTGTTACAGTGTGCATCATTTGAGCAGACTAAACCTCTGAATGGAATCTGTATTCACGTCATCTGAGCTCTCGTAACTTACTGCTTCGTCCTGCCAAATCAAACACATTCAAATATTAGTGAAATCAAATCAAATTCCATTGATCATTTCTGACATCTGAATGAATCGATATGTTGCTGTAGGGACGGGAAATATGAGAAATTTCCCATTCCTATTTTTTCTTAATGATTCAATAAATGAACCAGATTCCTTAAATTATTCCTTAAATGAACCAGACATGACACTGATTAAGTCTCTCAAGTCTTAAATTGATAAATATACACACACACACACACACACACACACACAATTATTTTTTTTTAATTTAATTAAATTAACTATTTGTGATTTTTTTTTTTTTTGTTCATTTTTTAGCTCATGTTCTCATTATGTTTTCAAAGAGGTGATGTTGACTCCAAAATCCATGACTCAAAAAAATAAATAAATAACATATGGCAAGTGCACCAATTGAAAAAAAGTTGACGAACTGATGTCCACTAACTGCACAAGGGGCACCAATAGAGGTTTGCTGGTGAAAAAACGTCAACAGATTAACAATGGAAACTCTTCTAAAAAAGTCACTTATGGATAGCATATTTATTCAGATGTATATGAATAAAGACCGGGTCCAGTAGTTGTGATCTGTGTGTGTGTTTGTGAAGCAGAGCTCACGTCTCTGAAGGCTACGGCACAGATTTACTACAGAAAGTATATTTTTTCTGAATCGCCAAACTCATGCTGACGTGTAGATTTATTCCGCATGAAGGGGGTTTTTGTTGGGCTCTAATCTTGTCACTTGGTTTCCTTTCCCAGTTTCACAGCAGACGCCTCTGGGAAAACAAAATCTATCATGAATGCTGTAACATTTCCTCACTTACTCGCTCAGTCGCTCGCTCTCACATGCTGTAAACTGGAGTAGTCTATCATCACAGCTAACACAAACATATTTCTGTGCAGTAAAATGCTGAAAGTCTGCCATCTAAGCTCAGAAGCGTGTCAGATCCTCACATTGGCGGCTCATGGTTGTTGGACGGAAGATGTATGTAACGTGTCTTTATGTAACCAGTGGCCGGTTACATACAGTAGCCTGCTTAAACTAGTCTTACAAGTTAATAGTTAATTGTTTTCTATAAATATAAACAGTCAGTTCCCTCCTCCCTCTCTCTCACTCTATAGTAAGTATGTGTGTTTGAAGTGTTGGAGAGTGTGTCTCATTCACTCAACTGACTGGCCGTCTCCTGAGTGCTGCTGTTTGATGCGGTTTAAGTCTGTGCCTGGTGACAGATCTCTTCCGTCCAGTCCTGTGAGGAGAGTTTCACAGTCTGGTGAGGGATCTGTAGACTGTGAAATAGTGAGAGGCAGAGGGATAGAGGCCGATCTCCCAGCAGCAAGCTCTCAACCTGCCCAGCACCACACTGCTCACGGTGCTTTCATCTTTCCCATGCATCCCTCCATCCCTCTATCTCACCGCACACATCCCTGTGTTCAGTACTGGCTGGCTGTTACAGTGTGCATCATTTGAGCAGACTAAACCTCTGAATGGAATCTGTATTCACGTCATCTGAGCTCTCGTAACTTACTGCTTCGTCCTGCGAAATGAGAAATTTCCCATTCCTATTTTTTCTTAATGATTCAATAAATGAACCAGATTCCTTAAATTATTCCTTAAATGAACCAGACATGACACTGATTAAGTCTCTCAAGTCTTAAATTGATAAATATACACACACACACACACACACACACACACACATTTATATTTAAACAAGAAATATTACATTTTAAACAACCACATACAGAAGCTTTTATAAGTTATTTTTTATAAGCTCTTTATATGGCATCACAAGAAGTTCTGAAGCTCTGATCCTAATAAGTGAACATCTTGTGCTTCAATTTATCTTATCCTACCGCTGCTTCCTGTACTTTAACATTATATTTAACATTACACTCCTCTGTGTTACTCAGCTAAATTAGAGATATTTTAAATTGAAGACAGTCCAACTTGTACCCGATAATGGTCTCTCTGAGAGTGACTGTTCCAAAAAATGAGGTACAGAGGGTCACATAAGACCCTCTTTCTTACAGAACAAAGCAGAATACATTTTTGCTCTGTGACCCATTTTTTAAGGTCCAAAATTCGTGCAACCCCACACAACCACCTTTGTAACAGAAATAGCCTACATTTTAAGGTCTTAATTGTCAAAATGTCAAATGAAACCTTTCCAAGTCTGACTTTGTAGTTGAACTCATCTCTGCTGATATATTCGGTAATTTGGTCTTGATGCAAATGAATATATATATATAAAAAATATTATGTTTTTAAAATATATATATATATATTTTTTAATATATAATATATTAAATAGTATGTTAGTATGTTGCTATGCGGTTGCTAGGTGACTGCTCACAGGACCCAATCAAATTTAGTCATACAGGTTTGGAATGAATAGAGATTAAATATTACATATATTAATTCTATTTTTTAATTAGGGCCCAAGCCAGAAAGGCGCAGGGCCCTATTGATCCCCTAAGGATTTTTTTTTTTTTTTTTTTTCAACCAAGAAATTATTAATATTTAAATTATTTACTATATATTATTACGTGTATATTAATTTATATTATTTAAATTATTATAAATAATATTATATGCTATTTAAAATGTTACATACACACATATGAGATCCATTTTTTTACTGCAATGCAAAAAAATAGTACTTTATGTTCAACGGAAGAAAAAGGTCATACAGGTTTGGAACGAATGGACATAAAGCTTGGCAGAAAATGTTACTCGTTTATCTAGTTTATGAGGCGACAGGCTTGATTTCCCATCATCCTCTCCAGCAGCACAAGAATGATAAAAACACACAGATAAACATCACTTACACACCTAATGTGCATCCTTTGCTCTTCATTATGACTAAAAATTATGACTATCATTATGACTAAAAAGCCTCCATGCGTCTGCTGGGAACTGTGAAATATGAAATTGCCCACAGTGTCTGTTTTATAAATCAATTTTATAAATTTTGATTTCTGGACTCATAAGAGCTTCCCAGGAGGGAACAATTGTTACGGAGTTATGACGGAGATATTGTCTGTTTTGCCACTAATGTGGCACAAGCTTTGGAGCATCAAAGCAGTGGCATCAAAGCTGTAGATGTGTGACGTGGGATTTTCCAGAGCTGGAAGTGAGAGCAGCTGTGGCAGAATGGCTGTAGGTAAAGGCCAGGATGCCACAACTCAAACTACTCCCATTTGGGTTTGAGTTATTTATAAAATACACTTTTTTGTCCTATGAAAATGACTTGTAAACAACAGAAAAGCTGCTGTTTACAAGACTAAACTTCTAAAGCCTTGTATTGACCACTCTGTGCTCCAAAAAACAACACGCAAAGCCTTATGAGATATGTCTGAAATGTTCCATACAGCTAATGTTTCTTTGTTTTTTCTCTTCCAATCATGTTCTCTCTATGAAGGACCACTGGTTTTGGAGGGTCAGAGATAACACTGTGATGCCCGGTTACCCCATGCTCATCAATGTCTTCTGGAGGGGTCTGCCACCCAAGATCGACGCCGTCTATGAGAACAGCAAGGGCAAATTTGTTTTCTTCAAAGGTAAGATTTCTACACATCAGATCAACGTCCTTCAGCACAATTTGTTTACAAGCGTCACAGGTGAGTTAGTGAGGGAACAGCGTCAAGATGAGACTTTCTACAGAGAGGTCAACTGCTGTAGGGCTCTCACGGGTTTATCTGCACGGCTTTACTGGAGCGGAGGGCAGTTTGCCTCTAAATATAACACCGTTAGGAGTTCATCTAGTGACTGTAAGAACATGCATGTGTGTGAGAGCGTCTATGATGGTGAATCTCACAAAACCTGTCAAGAACATGAGTCATATTTACACACAATCGAAAGGAAATAGTCATGTACACAATATTTAATATGATCAATAACTTAAAAGGATTAATAAATGATTTATGACAACAATAATAAAATTAATGCAAACAAAAATGGTCAAATATTTTAAAAGTATACTTATATATTTATACGTAAATATTTAGACTTAAATATTTTAAAGTATAATTATAATTATTTATTTAAAACATTTATTTAACACATTGTGCTTAATGGACTTAATGAGGTGACAAGCAAATGAAATTTGGCTTTCTCATTTTTTTATGTAAAAAAATAATATACAGTGGGTACGGAAAGTATTCAGACCCCCTTAAATTTTTCACTCTTTGTTATATTGCAGCCATTTGCTAAAATCATTTAAGTTAATTTTTTTTCCTCATTAATGTACACACAGCACCCCATATTGACAGAAAAACA